TCAGGAAACCCTCTGAGCTGAAATAGCAGGAAACTGGGAAAATGCCATGAAAATGGCATATGCTTTTTCTGTTCTTGCTCTTCTGTCCAGTGATGGCTGCCATCACCAAAAGGATTGTTGGTTTCAACCAGTATCGTGGCACTTGTGTTCTCAATACTTTTTTTCATATTCAATTTAATGGTATATGGGAGAAATGGGGCACAAACTCTATTGTTGAGTAGTTCCTTCAAGACATACTTAGGCTTACTCTGTGATAGCAATTTTATAAATGTAATCAGCATTCAGAAAGTAGCAAAGATGAGTTTCTGAAACTGTCACTGATATAATTTGCCTGTGATGTATTTTTTGTGTTCATAGCGCTTCATTTCTGCCTTCTTTCTTGCTTCCTTTTGCTCTTGAGTCTCCGTGGTTATTCTGTGTAGGAAGATGAGACCTCATGTTTCCTTACCAGAAATTTAACTTCTCAGTGAAGTTAAAAATGTTAGGGAAATACCATACTTTTAATCTTTAAAATAAATTTAAAAGTGATTACCTAGCTAGCGAAACAAAATTCATTATACTAAATTTATATTATTTACTTATAAAGAATGAGATTAATTTGGTGCTAGACCTTGACATGGCAGTGAGTGTAAGAGCCATGGGTTTTAAACATGCCTGTCCAGGACACCAGTGTGCTTGTTCTATTTTATATAAAGGAGCTTACCAGTAACACTGAAAACTTCCACCCCCCTCTCCCACAGGTCTAATTCAGCCACAAGTCCTGACACTCCATGCATTTCTGTTTGATGGTAGTGGGAAAAAAGGTCTGTTGAGATGAACATGGATGTTTATTGGGGTGCAGAAGTAGTGACCTACCCCCTGTGGTATTGTTCAGTGTGTCACCTACATGCTGCAAGGCCACAGAGTGATCTGGGGGTTTGCACACCCCCAGAGTTTGGGTCTGCTCAGTGTCAGCACTGCAGTGGGTGTGGGATGCCTTCCAGCAGATGTGCGTGGTAAGTCCCACACATCTGGGCACCTATCTGTTTTGCTGGAGTCCCTGAGGTTCACTGGAAGGCAAGATGCTGTATTGCATCTGCAGGCATTCCAGGCTGAATCAGAGGTGGTCTTCAGTCACAACCCTGGAGTTAATTGTTTATAAAGCTGCTGAAAGGTCCCTACCAAATTTCATTTTTTAAAAATACCTTTCCCTCTTGCATTTTATTTCCTTCCTCTTTTTTTTTTCCCTTTCTTTTTGGTTTTCAGCTGTTATACTTGGCAAGTTTCTTTCCCAGCATTTGGAAATAATTGTTTTCTAAATGCTACGCAGGTTATCTGCCAAATTTAACACCCAAAAAGGAAGCGGGGGTGGGGGACAAGAGATGTACCTGGGAATGGAGTGAATGTAGTGAGTCTTTAGAAAGTGCTAAAAAGGAAATTTACCAAATATAGCACCTAAAATCAAAATTATTTAGTTCCCTCACATTAACTGTAAAATACAACATGTTATCATCAACAGGGTAAAAAAGGCCATTTCACACAGCTTCATAAACTCTTTTTTAATTTTCTCTACCAAAAGGTAAAGCACATGTGGCTTTTTGTGTTCTTTTAACAAATATGTATAGTTTTTTCTAAGTGTTATTGGAAAAATACCATTAGTTCCTGAGAATACATAAGAAAATAAGAGCAAAGCAGAAACCACTCATGGCACTTAAACTGACCTTATCTTGGAGACTTTGCAATGGCATAATCAGCCGGGAGGTTGTAAGACAGGATTGATTTTGCTGGTGACACAGGAACAGGATGAAAAGTTTAATTCCTTTTCCTTGGTGATAGAAGGGCTAAGGTAGCCCAAGGTATTGTTGCGTTGGTGCTGTTTCTGATCACTGTGAGTTTTGTCAGGGGCCCAGTGCAGCTGAAGGTATGTTCCAGCAGCCCTGGGACAGCTCCAAGACGTGGATTAGTGGCAGTGGAGCTCTTGCATGGGAAATGCACAACTTTTATGAAGAAACGCTTGGCGAGCATAAAGAATGAGCTTCCTTGTCCTTAAATGTAGGTGTCTAGGTGCCAGGGGTCAGCCATGGCCAGTTACCTTTTGGTCACCGTTGCGTTTGGTTCTCTCTCTTTCCATGTGATCAGCCTCCACTGGTACCTCCCAGCCCTAAGAGAGTATTTCTGTGACTGTGTTTAACATCTGCTTCCCAGGTGACCTGCCCCTGCCTCATGCCAGGTTTTCAGGTGGGTGCTCAGATGGGGACAGGGAGAGAGCGCTTCCATGACCAGAAGCTGGTTAAAGCTCCTGCCACCTCCACAGCGTGGCTGGGAGGGGCTGGCAGCCGCCCTGTGCCTGGCGGCGAAGGCGCGTGTTGAGATCCGCGTCTTGGGGAGAATTGCGTGGTGTTGGCCAACGTTCCAGAAACGAGGGAATAAAAATCCCCCATAAACCACTTTCTGTGCTTCTCTGTGGGTTTTTTTATTCCCTTCTAAATGGTAATAGCTGCTTGGAAAGAGGTCATCATCCCTGGTACAACAGTACTTCTTTAGCTGGTGGGACTCTTAGTACTGTTGTGTATTTAATGGTATAATATTTTACAAAGAAGATTACTTCCAAATAAGTAGAGAAAAATAAAACAGGATATGTGCTTTCATGACTTCCCTTCAATTTAGATCTTGTCTTTTTCAATAAATTGAATTTTTGTCCTACTCATATTTGATGGCACATTTTGCATATAACAGCTTCTCTGTAATAGATACTGTGTAATTTGGATATATTTTTTGATACATTAACAAGTCAAGGGAATTAAATTAGTTTTTGTAAAGCTTTATTAAAAGATAAAAATAACCTAAGATGACAATTAGAATCAGGATAACTGAGTGCTTTTGTTTAAAAGTTGAATTTTTCAAAATTAAAAGGACTTAATTATTATTACTTAATTGTGGATCAGCTGTTCTGTATTAAAATCTAAGCCCTCATGTCAGTGTGACTTGATTCTGCTGCCAGAGGTCTCTGGTGTCTTCTGAGTAAGACAAGTCTTTGCCCCTAGCAGTGTGGGTGGGAGCCCACATATATAGGAGCTTTTTGTAAACCTCTTTTACAGTGACATGAAGTGCAGCATATGTCAGAGCAGAAATTACAAGAGTAGGCTCTTTTAAAACTGGTGTGTCATAGGAATCTTTCCCAGAGAGAGAAAATATTTGCAACAGCAGCTCCTGCAAGTTAGGTCGCCTAATTACGGCTGTACTATAATATACACGAAAGCATATATGCTTTTTCCTTCTGGGTTTCAAGAGAAAATCACCAATCTTTGTAAAGTTTTCTTTCCATTAGTAAAGAGAGCACTGCTGATCTGAAAATCCATCAGGTCATCCATACCAGCATTACATCAATTGACTTTTGAATATTTTTCCATTAGAAAAGGCTCCATTTTATTCCCTCGCTGAAGTGGCAGACTTTCGGTTTGCTGCGGTTTTTCCATTTATTGAATTTTGCAATAAAAGAGTTTTTGAAACAGATGTCAGTCATTGCTTAGGAGTGGGGCATTGTTAGAGGGCTGTTTTCTTCTCTGGTTTTGTTTTTTGTTTTTGGTTATTTTTAAAGTTTGTAAAAAAAAATCTTTTCCTTTCCCTCCCTAACTTTAATTGTCACTTTTAACAGCCATAAATAGTTTTCTAACTTATAATCTGGTGTCCGAACAAATATAAGCACCAAACCCTGATTTCACAGAAATATTGCAGATTGGCCATTGTTCTCAGCAGGAGCAGGACTGGATTTGATCTCAATTGTAAACCAGAAAGAAGGGAGTGGATGCATTGCAGAAGCATGGTTCATATTAGCATCTTCCTTAGGGTGTGGAGTGGACCTGTTAACACTTTCTTAATGCTTAGATTTTATAGAAGTAGCCAAATGTGTGTAAGGAGTGGTGTCCAAAAAAAAATGGGTTTGGAGGGATTTTTTTACTTTCTTGCTAGGGTCTTATCCAGGTAGAAAGATAAAAATAAGATTTTGAGTCCTGATCCTAAATTATATGTATTTCATATGCAGAATGGTTTTAGGACAAATTGAATATCTTCAGACCATATCATCAGCTGTCACAGAAGAGCAAAGTGTGTGTGTGTGTGTGTGTGTGTGTGTGTGTGTGTGTGTGTGTGTGCGTGCGTATCTATGTACACCCACTTAAAAAAAATCAGATTTTAATTTTTATTTTTTGTTGACAGCATTTTCCCCATGTATTCAAAAACAAAGCACCAGTTTTTCTAATGAAGTTTTTAGCTGGGTTTGTTTAAATTACACCAAGAATAAATCTGAGTTTTAAGAGGTTTGCAGCATTTTATTCTAAAGGAGGAGGGAAACCATATTTTGGGTTGATATCTGTTTGGTAGGGTAAGCCTTTATTGTTTCATCTCAGTACTTCACTGTTACTGTAAACATCAAAGAACACCCTTTCTGAAGGTGAGAGAACACAAAGCATCCCATATTTATAATTTATGAGGTCTAAGACTGTGACCTAATGTAAACTTGAAGAGATTAAGTACAAAAATATCCTTAGCTTGAGGGCAACGTTTGAAAACTTTGTGGATTTTCTTTTTTATCCTGGCTCTGTCTACAATCATGTTGCTTTGTTATTATTTCCTCTTAGCATTAAAGTAATATTGACATTGATAGATATCAGGTGAAGGCTGAGTTTCCTAAATGTGAAAAAAAAAGTAAAAAGGAAAAAAAAAAGAAGAAGAGATGTGTTGTTGGCACAGAAATAGTGGTGGTGGAAGCGGTCCTGGCTGCCTTTTATTCTTCTGCAGACAGTGAGCACAACGGGGCTCTCGCTGCCTGCTTTTGGCTTGCATGGATTCGCAATAAACAGCTCAGCTGTGTGTTTATTTTCAAGACTGATTCAATTCTTCAAAGACAACTGCTCCCAACTTGTGAATACTTGTTAGTTGCTGGAAAGTTGCAGAAGTGAAGATCAGCTCCTAATTTCATGCCAACAAATTAATCCGACGATGTGGTGCTGTCTTTTCCACAGGTGTGTGTGTTCTAGGACTGTCTGAACCTCCCTGTAACTAATAGCCCGTATATAATTTGGAAGGAGAAATCTTCAATGGAAGACCCCGAGGGAATAAATGGGAAGTCTGTAAGTAAACAACTTGTCAGTCCCGAGGAAAAAAGTTGTGGCTTTTAAAGTGGCAATTATTTTTGTGGCAACCAAGTGAATTAAAGTCTTAGAGAGCTACATGCCCTTTTAATGGTTGGAAGAAGCAGGGAATGATGAAATTAGTTGAGAGATGGAGGCTTATGCTAAAGCTACAGAAAATTAAGTATGGCTTTAAAAATATTTGTCTTTAGCGATTCATATTACAAAATGAAATATTCTTTCTTTCTCTAAGAAATATTTGGCCTGCTGTGTTTGTGTTGTTAACAATTGTATCTGTTAGAGAGTTTTCTTCTCATTATTTGAAGGTATTTCTCTTTGTCTTTGTGAATATATGTAAATACTGCTTCTGGGAGAAGTGAGCGCAACTCCTAGCTGCCTTCTTAAGAACAGTGGCAAAAAAATGTAGTAGCCTTGCTGTTTATTGTAAATGCCTCTTTGTAGAGTCACAATAATAAGAAATTTTGCAAACTGTCAGGCACAATTGAGAATGTTTCATGCATGGTCAAATGATTAGTTGTGTGTTTTGGATATGTCAGTTTAATTTGTGACATCATTCTTGGTACTCGGTGTAATTCAAAATACTACATATATGTTTTTATTTTGAATTGTTACACAGAAAGTGTATGTATCGAGATTACATTATTTTTACCAGTTGTAAAATAAGTCCAAAAGCTATTTAGTAAATTTAATTAGATTTATTTCCTGCATTTTTTCCTGATGTATTTATTTTCTACATTTGACAGTAGTCTATTCTCTCTCACTCTTCCCTTTGTATTTCATGTTTCTATATCCAGTTTCCCTGATGATTCCATTTAATGTAGCAACTGAGTAGACAAAACCAAACCCCTTACAATAAGCCCGTTGTGTTGCATGTTTTTGTTACACTTCATGTATAGTGTATTTTTTACTGTCTGAAGCAATATGGCTTTGATTATTTTCCGATGTTCATTTGTTCCAGTCTTGTCTCTATGTGTATGTTTGGGTATTTATCCATCACTGCTACCACCATGTGTGGACAGGACCAGTTAACTCTTAGGGAAGGGGTGGCCATGGTTACCAACAGGCACTAAACAGGGATGGTCCTGTTTGCAGTTGCAGCGCCAGAGCTTTCAGCACCACCCAAGCTCCTCTTTCTATTTGGAATTGGCTTTCCTCCATGCATGAAAAGCCTTTCCCTGATCCTGTCAGGATTTTCTGTGGCTTCCACTGCAATACCTCCTCTCTGTGTGCCTGGCATAGCCTGGGCTTCGTGTGCTGTGGAGGGTTTGGGCCGGGTAATTGTGTGCTGGGCTGTATGTAATGACAAATGTAACTGTCGCCTAACATAACAGGAGTATTAAGGGAAATATTTGTTCATGGTTTGGCACCACCAGCACTCCTGTTGGGGTTATTCATTCCATTCCTTCTTTTCACCACTTAGTCCAGAGAGCCTGTAAAACACTTCAACTGCTCAGTTTCCTTTCACATTACCCAAGTGGGTGGTAGTTGTTGATGCTATCAGAATTATCAAAATTTAAGCTAGTAACTGCTGAATAGACCCACTGGTCTGACCAGCACTCAGGCTTCTGTAAATGAGGACTGAGGTGCCCAAAGGTACATGACACAGGGCAGGGTGTGACTCTTCTGATTGCAGTGCCGTTGGAAAGGTTTAAAATTGGGGTATTAAACCCTGGGATCAGATCTATCAATTAGGTATCACTTGAAGTCATTCATTATTGGGCAGTCTGCTGTGTTTGCATCAGCCACTTGACCAGCAGGGAGATTTCCTAAAAGTGGTAGTCAGAAAGCAAAATAGTCTCAGTGAAAATAAAGATGGTGGCATGAACATTGTTTATTTTGCTCTGTGTGTGTGCATAAAAAGAAAGAGAGGGTGAGGGATAGATTAGTACTCTGTAATTAGAAACCAGAAACCAAAACCTGTCTGGGATTTAAGATCCCAAAAACATGTATTGACTTTGAAAACCTGGTGCTAGGCCATAGGAAAAGAAGAAAACTTCCCTACACATACCAATTGAAAGGTAATTTAATTTTGCAGCTGTCCTGTGCAAACTATGAGGTGGAAGCAACTTCAGGTACATGCAGATAAGGGAGGAGCTTTATTCAACAACTGAGAAATGAAGCTGGATAATATTTTAGGAAGACAGAGCTAGATGTACAACAGAGAAAATACCAAGAGAAGGAGAAGGTAAAGGCAAATGAAAAAATGCTGTCAGCCAACAGTATGAGAGAGTAGATGAGGAAATACTTTGCCATTGTCTTTGGCCAGGATTTCTCTTTTGAGGAAGAGGATGGTGTTGCACATGCAAATACAGCCTGTGAGGCTATCATAATAAGCCCAGTTAACTCACTTCTGCACTTCTGTTACACTCACTCAGCTGAGTATTTTAGCCATTTCCTAATCAAGAAATGGTTCTAATTGTACTAATTGTCACATGCTTGCTTTGCATTCTGTAGGAAATGAATTTCAAATTTGGGCATGCAATCTTGAACGTTACCTCTGCCCCTGCCCTTCCTTTACTAGGTACTTGAGAAAGAGGCACAACACAAACCTGAGCCTGGCTGGACAGAGGATATCAGTGTGTTATCACGTCTGAAAATTTCACCTAAGTTCTGTTGCTTTCTTTCTGGGTCCAAAAAATACTTTGAAGCTTGTTTGCTAATGATATATGCACCTATCAAAGATGGTTCACTCATGTTTCATCAAGCTAAAACAAATGGTTGGGTTTTTTAAATTAGTATTTTCCTCACTATCCTGAAGGGGCTTTTCTGTCTGCCAGTCATTTGCAACAAGTCCCACTGTTCAAATATACTTGAGAAATAAAAAAAACAAATTCTTGTTTTAATTATTTTTGAGATGAAAATGTCATTTTGAGTGTTAGAGAAATTCTGATTGTAAGGAGCCTAGGGCTGTGTAATAGTACATCTTGTACCAAATTGATGTATAAAAAAATATGCAAAATTGTCATTGCTTGTATTTGTGATAGGCTAAGTCTACCAGTTCCAAACTTGGCATTGACATGAATTTGTTGCCTTAGAAACCCTCTAGAAGCCCTAAAAACATGACAAACACTGATAAGATTCAGGATGATAACCTAGGTGGTTAGAGGTACCCTGATGATGACTTCTAAAACAAAACTCGAAAAGGCAGTGTGGAGGTCAGCAGGTATTTTATTTAATTTGATTTGCCTGTGATTTTTTTTTTTTTTTTAATGCATGGGGTTTACGTATTTGCAAAACTCAGCACAAGAAAATTTTCACCAGTAAATACTGCCATGTTTTCAGCAATTACTATACCCTCTGGGGATATTTTGGAGGGCTTTTCTTCTATAACTCTCTTTCTGGTAGCAATATTCAGTTATTATATAACATAAAATAATTTTCATTCCTACCCTGTTCAGGCTCATAATTGAAAATTCTCATTGCAAAGTTACACACCAAGAAGTATTTTCAGCATTGAGTGGTTTTTATGGTGGAGTTTGCCCATCTGGAAAACAGAGCGAAGACTCTGAGGCCCTCAGTAGTCAAGGTGGATCCAAATAGTGTGTACCCAATGAGCCAAAAAAGGAGGTGCTCTTGGTCCACTCCAGCAGTTAATTTTTTCTGATTCCCCCCACAGCCCCCAAACCTCAGCTTTCAGTCAGCACTCTGGGCCGCCTGGTTGCATATTTCCAACTTCTTTCTCCATCCCTGCTGCTCACTGGACACTTCTCCCATGCCACATACCAGAGAGTGGCACTTTGCACCGAAAATTCACCTCCTACCTCCGTTAGTGGAAAGACACAGAGCAAGTAGCTGGTTTCAGCAAGAAAGGGGGAGGGAGAAAATAAAAACCCAAACCAAAAAACATCCAGCACCTGGCTGCAGCAAAATAATGAATTTTGCAGCAAACATGCGAGATTCTGTGGAATCTTGGAAAAATGCCAGACTCCACGACCACAGAAATGCTGAGTCCATGGGGCCCAGAGAGAGATGGCTGGGGCAGTTCACATCTCTCTGTCTTTGTTTCAAGCTCCTTGCAGTCTTACTGAGGCATCAGATTACACTCTCTTCACATTTTCAAGGTTATCTTCACTACCAGAAGGGCTAGAAAGTTAATTTTGTTTCAAGGCAAGCTAGGATCCAGCAGCGCAACTCTTGAGCTGTTTTAGAGGCCACTGCCATGGTGGTGGCATGGCTGTGCCTGAGGGTGTGGCTGGTGACCTGCGGATTTGAACAGCATCATCAATTACATGTTTGTCATGCTTACTCACATTACCTGTTTGTCACATTAGGGAACAAAGTCTATGAGGATGAAGGGTGAAAATAGAAGTATTTTCCCTTTGGTTGAAAACTTAGAGCATGGTCACTGTGAAAGTCATGCATGTGCTGCCTTAGTTTTTCTCAAAGACTGGCAAAGTTCTCCCCTCTGTGTTCCCCTCCTGTTCTGAAGAAATGCATGACACGTTTCCTTTTTGGAAAGCTCTGCAAGGCAATAACCAACAAGGACCATGCAATTGCAATCTGTAACTGAGCCTATAAAATGTAATCGCCTGCACCCTTCCCACTCCCCTTCCCCTCTCTATCTGCAATTGGTAGAATATTGGAAACATAAGCCACAAAACCCACTTATTACATTCAGTAAGTGTCAAAAAGAATGAACAGCCGGAACTAGCTGATGTATTTAAGTTCCCCAAATTGAAGTGAGCTGCTGCTAGGCCATCTATAGCAACTGCTCGATCAGTTACTATTGATAGAATTTTTTCTTTCAAAATATTTTAGTGAAAATACTCCTGAAAATTGTAAGCTATTTGTGGACAGTTTGAAAACATCATTCACTACAGGCTCTTCATTCATCTGTGTTTGCAGTAACACCACAGAGAAATTGTTGTCACTTACAATGTACCTTTTCTCATTGCTGGCAGAAATCCTAAGGTGCCGTGGGCAGCAGCACTGACAGAAGTACTGCTACCCACAGCTTGTAGTGTTGGACATATTCCTCA